CCAAACAGTAGTTAGACACGGTTCAAAGGGCAGTAAAATAATAAAATTTTAGTACAAATAGATGTAAACAGTTAGAAGTTTAAAGCTACTTAGGATAAACGAATGTAGTTTCATGTTACATATTGAAGTAATTCTAGAAAGAAAAAATGGTAATTTAAATTTATTTCGATTTCTTTTTGGTGGTTATGAGGTCGGTCAAATTGACCAACCATGTATAAAGTTAGGGTAGAGAAAATAACAGATAAAATGTAAAGTTTTACTGAAAACAAACATATTTAGGAGTTTTTACAGATTACACAAATGAAATTTGAGATTTTTGATAACGAAAAGTATTTTTAATCTTAACATGAAAATCACTTTGCACGTTGACTATTCAAAACAAATACTTGATATATTCACGGAAAAATAAATTTTTCAGTGTCTTTAAAATACTTCACTAAAAATATGACTTTTCAAATACTTATAATGTTTACTGAAAGACTGCCAAAGATTATATTAAAAGTTAGTAGTATCAAATCTATAAAGACTTTAAACGAGTACAAAGAGGTCATGTGGTCGATCAATTCAACTGAGTCAGTGTTGAAAAAGTTAATGGATATCTGAAATATGCATCCTAGAATTAATTAATTATCTAATTTTTTCAGCAATTTCAAAATGTTTCATCTAGTGTGACACCTATGACATTTTAAGGAGTATCATTTTTTAAAGTTTTCATGTTCAAATTAACACTGAAAAATATTAACTCCCAAGAGTGTAACAAGTTAACATTAATCAACAGACACCATAATAGTTATTGACTATTAAATACAAGATGAGGAATACTATGTGACCATAGAATATTTCAATGCTGGATTCTTACAGTTAAAATATTTCAAATTATAAATTTAGACATTCTTATAAATACTTTTGGAAATTAACCAGATATAATGACACTATCTTCATTAGACTTACATTTTCCTAAAACCTGCTCTTTCTATATGACTAGCTAGTCCAAAGTCTCCAATTTTCACTTCCATGTTTTCACTCAAAAACATGTTTCCTAACTTCAAATCTCTATGGATAACTCCATGACTATGAATGTACTCAACTCCTTCAGCCAATTGATGAATGTAGTATCTAACTTCTGGTTCAGTCAATACCTTCCTATTCTTTAAAACATGAACTAGGGACTGAAAAGTAAATTAAATATTTTGAAACAGTCTCAACATAATACACTTTAACATAGCAAGTACAAATAATCACAATATTAGGAGCTTCAATCATCAGTATGAAATTAAACAAAAAAAAAAAAGAACAAAACTTTAAGTTTGTGTTTGAAAGTTATAAAGCCAATAAGTTGTTTCAATTGTTTCCAAACACTGAATCTACAAATAAAACAAAGCAAAAATATGAAAATCCATAATAATTCACACAAAGAATAGAATTAATTTTTTTTAAATTTTGCTGTTAAACAAGAAGGTACATATATTCTTTAAAGAATGCTACCTCCAAATTATGTTTAACAAAAGCATTTTTAATATAAAAGGCTTTCTGGGCAAAAAAAAGTAAATTATGGACACAAAATTTGAACTCATTTGAAGAATTTGTAATATAACTATTCCTTCTCCTCTACAAATAGTTTATAGTATAGCACTTTTAAGTACATTATTTACACCTTTTCTTTTATCTAAAACCCAATATCAGGTCCTATTTTCCACCTAAAACCATACTCTACTCCATAAGCTATCATCTCATGTCACTGACATAACTAAGCTACTTAAAACTATTAATGCTTGATCACTTTCTGCTGGTCATAATAAGAGCTTCATTGCCTGATTATAGCTATTTTATGATAAACTTTTTTTAATTACAAAATACTTTCATGTATGAATAAAATAATATTGAATTAAAATAATACAGAAGTACAAGAAAAGTCAATGCAGCATATTTCAGTACCAATCGATCATTATGATGAAGGCATGGACAAAAACTTGGCAACTTTCTTCTCCTTTTCTTTCTTTAATTTTTATTATCTAAAAACCTATTTTGAAGTATATTCAAATTTAGTTTTCCTTCTACATGTATTTTTCTACTTTATGATTTAGTACTGTCTATCTTAAGTAGAACCACTGTGCAAACAAGTTGCTTTCACTTATAATTTGTAAAAAATAAGTACTAATTTACTTATAGAACCTACTAAAATAAAAAAGTGTTAAATTCAAAGTACCTTTCTTGGACAATTTTCAAGAATGATGTAAATGTTCTCCTTATCTTCAAAGCAACAGATAAAACCAACAACATTTTTATGCTCTAACAATTTGTGAACTTCAACTTCTCTGAGAATCTGGAAATATTTCACCAATGAAGAATTTTCTCTAAATATTTCAAACTACTTTTGATTCTTTCAAAATTTACAGTAAATACTTTTCTGGCAATACAGTAACTAAATCAAATTATTGAATAAATTACCAATCCAGTGATTATTCCTTCAAAAACACAATTGGAGTAGAATTTACTCCACTGTTTAGTTTTATTTCATAATACATCACTAAAAAACCAATTTTAGTACATAGAGATACAAATATCAAAGTTTTTCTGGAGTCATAAACTTCAAAAGTTTCAAAAGAATTTGTACTGGTACAGTCAATACTGTTTAATATTCATGAAAACATATATCCTGAAGTGTGCTTGATGCTATAAACATAAATAATTAATGACCAAATAAAAATCATTGGACAAGAAAATGATCTTAGAATAAGATATATAATCACTGAAAAAAAAAAACAATTTTTTTTTTGAGAAAAGAATATTTAAACTTTCAATTAATTGTTATAAAGTAGTAAAGGTAGTGTACATATTTTTTTTCAGTTGAAGGAATTAAGTCTAACAGCAGACAAATGATGATTTCACTATGTTTAATACAATATCATACTAAAAGCTTAACTTTCAGCCTACTAACATTACAGTTTGTCACATTTCCAAGGTGACCTTAACCATTTTCATGTATGGTACCTTTACCATAAGCTAATGTAACATATAAACTGATATATTATAAAGCATACTACATGCTGATATTATCTCTTTTACTGTATTATAATAAATTCTACATGCTGATATTATAGATATTAATATTACTCTATGCATTTTGCAAATCAACATTTGAATTATTGCTCTACAATGTAATCGACAACCTAATTTTATTTTTTAAAGCTCCATATCTTATTCATATGATGATTAAGAACAATTTCCTTTCATGATTTTCCAACTTGTTTCTGCTATATGTGTTCTTTAAAAGTTATAAACTTGATTCATTTATCAGAGTAGTATTCCAAACTGAGTTCTTCATGTGATGTTCTTAGCTTAAGTTACTTGTCTAACCGGTAGCATTTTAAATCCACTGTACTGTGTAACACATAGCCACAAACCTTTTCTCTTTGATGAGTCTTTGTAAGCCTGGCTTTTGGAATTATCTTTCCAGCATAAAGTTTATTTGTAGTCAAATCAGTCATCTTATGAACATGAGCAAACCCTCCCTTAAAAGAGAGAGAGAGAGAGAAATAATAATTATGTGAAATTCACAAAATGTATGCTACAGCAATTAAAACTGAATAATTGTAAATACTCAACGTTTTACCGTATTTTTCGGAATATAAGATACACCAGTGTATAAGACGCACCCTTATTTTGAAGACAAAGTTTTTGGGGAAAAAAAAAGCTACAGTCACATTTGAAAGATTTTTATTGAACAAAAATAAAAGAGTTTAAAACATCAAAATAAGAAAATACCATAAATCAAAAAAAGGTTTACTGT